AATCCGTGCGGCATTGTGGTCACTCACCTGCATTAACAGTCTTCTTTGGGTCTTGAGTCCTCCACACATCCCCTCTATGTTCGCCATTTCAACTCCTTCTTTCCCCATTAGTGAGCCACTGATAAGCCCTCGGCCCTGATGCTCAGTTTCTCTGTCCCACTCGTAGGCCCAACTGATGCTAGAAGTCACCGCAGAGGGGTCCCGTTTGATTTCAGCTAGACACAGCGTGCACCTCGGTGACGCAATATGTTTGAAAGAGGTGATTTAGCGAGCTAGTGACTAATAGACTTCATGTTGAATGGATTTTTTTAACCAAGCTAAGATACTACAACGCAACACCGGACTCCCGATTAAAATGCGGCCATTCTTAATTTTGTTGTCAACGAGCAACAGCCGCATTGTTCTTTGTTACTGACACCGCTGCACTCTGTTCACACGGGTCATGACTTCAACATCCCTGTAAAGGCCTCCAGCTGGAGACAGTGATTCACCTCAAAGACAGACTATTGAACTGTTGCGGACTCATCGCTATCGCTGACTTCATTTTCATTCATTCAAGAGCCTCTTAGGTCACACATACGTGTGATAAAAGCAAATCCTCTGACATGCTTACACTTGTGTGTCAATAGACAGAAGCTGTACTGCAACTAGTTTTTCATGTTTCAAAGATAATATATAGTCAAACTTTAAGGTGGCTTGAACCCAAAAGGTCTGCAATAAGCGGTCGGTTTATTACTTTATTTTTGTAAATGTTGTATGAGATCTTACATACATACATCATGTCATCCATGATACGACACAAGGACACTGCAGCGCACAGATCTTTAAAATAGATTTTATTTACCATTTTGTAATTCAACAGTTTACGATATACAGCCGACAGGACTAAGACATTTCAATGGATTTTGGCCCTAAGGGTTGAAGAACAAGAAGAACAGACATGGTTAGATAGATAGACAGATAGATATGATAGAGGATACCAGAAGAACTGTGTTCTCTTTTTATCACTTGTGCTTTTCCTCTCCTCCCATGAAACTATTTCAATACGAATAGCAACAACACAGCATTTTCCCACTGACAGTTTATCTCAGCCAGTCCGCTGAAAACTGGACTAAAATAATCTGCCGTACTTTTCTGCTTTTTCACAGAATGGAAGTGTGAATTATTACTCTAATGATAGGTTGTTGTTTTTTTCCTCCCCCTGTTGCTTTTACAAAAAAAAAATCCCTAAAGTGCTGTAACATATGAGTGTGCTTATATGAGCAGTAGTAAGAAATTCAAGAGGTAATGTTCTGTAATTTACAGAGAACTACAGACACAAGGTAAAAATCACAGTTTCGTTTTTCAGTAGAATTTGAGTAGAAAAATTGTTCACGTTCTTCAACATCAGTGGCTTCCTGCACAGCCACTTCAGACTGAGGACGGTAGGCAATAGCATCTCAAGATATGACTCAATTGTTTAATATTCTCAGTTGTTCTAAGTTTCTTGGAGGACTAAAGGGTCTTTGTCTTTTGGTAGCCAAATAACTGGTAAGGTTTACTTGACTAAAAGGACAAATCAATCAAAATATAAAGGGAACTGGACCCCGATCTGATACATTTATGTCACAATTGCCTAAAACGTCCACATGAAACAATATCATGTTGTGATTACGCATTAGCGCTGCCCATGAATGAAAATGGGTATTAATGTGTCTTGGTGCTAATTCCGTCATAGTGCCGTCATTTTGGTGTTTTGATGTTTGCTCATTTGTAACCCTTTGTAACAACTACGATACTAGAAAAAACCCCTTTGGGTTAAGGGCCACAGGATATTAGCGGTGAACAGTGTCCTGCGTCCATTGCCACTGCACGTTGTAAGATATAAGCGTTAAAGGGCCAGCGTGTACCGTTTGGTCACGTTGCAGATTGCAACCAACTGAAACTACTCCAGCTCGCCAAGCGCATTAATACTGTGCACCATTTCTGCTTCACAAAAAGGGTTGTGTGTTTGAAACCAGCCAGCGGCCTTTCTGTGTGGAGCCTGCGTGCCCCCCCACTCCCCCTCCGGCTTCCTCCCACAGACACGCTCTGGGGGGTCGGGGTAATAGGTGTGTGAGTGGTTATTTGTCTCCATGTCGGCCCTGTGGTTAACTGTCCGGCGCGAACCCCGTCTGTCTTCCCATGTTCGCACGGGCTGACCCCCCCCCCCCCTAGCAACCCTTTAAGGATAAGTGGCATAGAAGATGATTGACTGACCATATCTGCCGGGTGATAAGTCTAAATGCTACACACTGGTCCTTTAAGTCCATGTAACACTGTTTAAAAAACATCTTGGACATGTAGCTGCAGCCGCCATCCACACCAGAGCCACAAAAACAAAGCGTTCGCTTTGTAGTTCAAGTTTTGATCCAAAGTTTTTTTTGATCCTCGTGAGCTGGCTTTATCTTAATCTTTAAATGAACACAACTTCAAAAGCAACCCAAAAGTAATGTGATTCAACATTAGATGAACAATGATTAAAATCTTTCTCTTTTAGTACAAAAAGTGTTTCTTTCTTAAAAGATAAAATCATTAGCAGAATAGGACTTGGCTAGTTCCGATAGGTTAGAGGTACACTGACATTAATAATACCGACACTACACATGCTCTTCATGCAGGTTCAGCAGTAAGAGCTACTCCACTACACACAGAGTACACAATACACCGACGTCGTCTACATTACTCTACGAGAAAAATGACAAAATCAAAAAAATAAATTGAAACAATGCCCCACCCCTCCCGACCCGCAAAAAACACACTTAACCCCGCCCTTGAGATGAAAGCAAAGATGAACAAGCACATACACACAGTCCGATTATATATTCTTTACATTACTGTACAGAGTTGTGGGGCCAGCAGAGATGGCGAGGGGTCGGGATGAGGAGAGAGAAAGCATGGTGACGTGGTGGCTGAGCCTCACTTACTACAGCAACACACAAGACAACCGCACAAAGGAACCGGTCCGAGCTACAGGTCCTCCGCATGCGCACCCACAATAACAACCCATATTCACCTTTCTTTCAGGGAAATAAAACCAAGAATTCTACTCGGAGGAAGCAAGGTGATGATGTATCGTTTCCAGGAGCACCTGGTTTTGTAATTAAATTGAAAAAACAACACTATTACAAAATACAACGCGTGGGGAGAATATTTCCAAAACCAGGAAGTTACAGTAGATCGAACGCAAAGCCGCAACTCACTAACATTTAGACACAACGTGAGCTCCTGGGACCTTCCTGTGACCTTCCTGTCGGAAATCCATTGAAGTCGGGCTGTCTCGGTTCCTGGAAGGAACCGAACTCTCTCCCCATAAAGCGTTGATCTAACTGGTATCGCTCATCAGTGGGATCTCTGAGGGGGGGAGCGGACTTCTTTCCGTGGGAGTGGGGCGGCTTATCCAGCTCACTTAAATTAGTCTGCGATGGAGCAGGTTCAAGTTTTTGGATGTGTTGCTATGGTGATTTGGCCAAACTGGCCAACCGAAAAACCTGACCTGTATAATCTTATGAAAATGATCCGGTTAACCCAGTAGGCCACGTACGAGGAACCGGGCCCCGGTGTCTGTTGGGCTCTTTCTATTTGGTTCACCTCTATTGTGTCGCCCCATCTTGTGGAGGAACGAGGCAACTGCACTTCCATGATGAAACTACTTTCCTCTTCTAAAGAATTGTGGGGGAATAGTCAGATTTAGTTTGAAGTTGTGCTTCCATAATTACAAAAATGTAGGTAAAAACCGACAAGCATGAAGTCATATGAAATCCTTATAAGGAGAATCCACCATTTTGGAATATACGCCCATTTCGCTTCCTGAGAGTTAGATAGTTAGTTAGAATTGGATTGATTTACTCTTATGTATGGTGAATATGAAGCTGGAGCCAGCAGCTGGTTAGATTAGCTTAGCATAAACACTGCTAGTTTGGCTCAAATCATCCAAGCAACTCTTTAACAACACAACACTGTAGATCAATAATCAACACATATAACCTGTTTTATTTGATGTTCGGCGAGATGGTAAAAAGCAATTTGCAAAATAACTCTTGGCCGGGAACAGTTGCTGCGCAACCAGCAGATGTTTTTCGGTTTATGAGAAGAAAAAAACAAATAAAATGTGTTCATTAGTGAGCATCAGAAGGCAGATTCTGTTCTGCCGTCTCCAGGCTATGCTAAGCTAAGCTAAGCTAACCGGGTGCCGCCTCGGGCTTCATTTCCCCCGCAGGTACACGCGAGTGCTTTCGATTTTGCCAGCTAACTGTTGACAGGAACGCAAACATATACCTGGTATATTCGGAGAACATGTGCCATGGTCACTCTGGTATCTCGGTCTGTGAACCCCTCAAACCCGCTAAAGATAAACCACGTTACAGACGGACAGATGTGATCTTCACACACAGCTGCATGTATTTGTTCAGTATTCAGACCGCCACACGCTGTGACCGCACCACTACCAAGTTCTCCTGGAAGGCCTCTAGCCGGGACACTTCTTTAAGGAAAACCCAACCCGCGTGCCTCTCCCTCACACCCGCCAGCAAAACGACAACAAGTCGTGGATGAGGAATGGTGAACATGGTTAGGTGAGATTCTGTAGTTTTCTTAATTCTTTTTTGTACAAAATAAACAAATGTTGTCTTATAATTATTTACTAAGTTACTTTACAATAATGAGAGGTAAAAAGGAGACTCTACCGAGAGAACGATACTATACAGCTACATTTAAATCTACACAACTCATTTAAGACTCTCATTCTGTTTTCTTCTGGAAACCAGCTGCACCTCTCTGCCTCTCCACCAATTACAGCGCAGCTCGGCTCAGAGCTTCAGAGTAAACGCCTGCGAGTACATTTAAGGTTCCACTACCGTACCATTCTTGATAAACAGTATACATACGTTACCAAAAACATGTGCAGGACTCTGGTAACTCGGGTGTTTTTGGTAAACATGCCTGAACGGGGCAGATTGATAGGACCCACGGGGAGACACAGACTACGACATGCCCACCATACCGTCTCTGGCTACGTCCTCTAGCCCGGATCCTCCTCCACGGCCCTCATCCTGAGATGCATTTTACTCAGAAAGAATGCCTGGAAGACTTAAGGAGAGATGGCACTTCGACAGACAGAGCTACACCCCCCTGTTTTGTGTGTACATATGTGTGTGTGTCTGTCGACAGAATTAGGGGGTCTAAGGTCTCCACAGCCAAGGAACCACAAGTTTAACTTGGACCCTGAGAAATGGGCGTTGGGATCTATTCTGTTTAAAAACTCGGAAAAAATGCTTGCATGTCAATGCAATGCGTGTGTGTGTGTGTGTGTGTGTGTGTGTGTGTGTGTGTGTGTGTGCGTGTGAGAGGCAGAGACTACAGCACCATTCCAAGTTAACTGTTAACTGACATTTCTCTGCTGAATCATCAGCTTTAATTGGAAAAAATGGAGGACGTTTCCCACGGAAAATTGTCAGTCGCCCTCTCAGGTGTTAAACGTGTGTGCTCTGTCAAACTCTAAAGAAATTTAAAAAAAGAAAGAAGCAGCATAAAAACAACAACAGGCTTAGTATTAATCTGAGATCACCTACGGTTGAGGTCACTGTGTGCTGTAAAATGTACCATAGTGTGAGTGTATGGGTGTGAATGAGTGTGACCGCCTCCTATCAAGCGGTATCGTGGCCCCGCTCCACCTCGTTTCCTCTTTGTCACAGCACCACTGAAAATCGCATCCCAAGTCTCCAGCCACCACATCACTGCTGCGAGAGAAGTGCCCGATCCCACAAAGACCCAGCTAACAGATTATAGGAGAACAGTGTGCGTCTCTATGGTGCTGCATGCCCAAAACAAACACATGCAGCTTCACAATCTACGGTACCTCTGACTGCACATGAAGATGACATATATGACATAAGTTTTTCAAAAAAAAAAAGGGAAAGGAAAAACAAACTGCATTAAATTATGTGTAACAAACGGACAAACCACGCACACGCTAATACACACGCAAATATTTTGGATGACGACCCAATTTTTTTTTTTTTTCCTTTCGCTTTTTTTCTTCTCCGTTTATCTAGAGACAACACGCAGATTGATGGATGGATAGACGAGGTTAGGATCGATATAATAAGCCCTTACAATATGTAAAGGTCTCCAGCGAACGGGATCTCCCCCACAGAGGTCTGTGGGAAAGTGGTTGTAGGATGGGGAGAAGGGAAGAAGAGAGGGAAGAGTTGGTGGAGAACTGAAGGGGGGGGGGGGGGGGGGGGGGGGTTCGGGGGGGCCCCGCAACCCTTAAAGAAAACTTTGCCCCCCATTCCCCGGGAATGGGGGTTTTTTTTGTGTTGGTGGAGCCGTTGCTTCCCTGGATGGTGAGGCTGATCTCATCCCTCCTCTCCTTGTCCTCCTCCTCCTCCTCCTCCTTCGGCTCCTCCTTCAGCTCTCCCTTCTGCTCCTCCTTCAGCTCCTGTTTCTCCCTGAGGGGACGAGACTCCACCGTGTCTTCGGAGGCCAAGGAGGCGTAGCGGCCTATCCGGTGCTCCTGCAGGGCGGGGCCCCACGATGGATGTGGCTGGCAAGCGAACTTCAACCGCTGAGCGAGAAAGACAGAGAGGGACACATGAGAAAGACAAATAGGGACACATGAGAAAGACAAAGAGGGACACATGGGTGAGAGCAGCAGGGCGAGACTTAAAGGGCGAGTTATTTAAACAAAGCAACGTGTGACTAGGTGCGAATCCAAGATGAGTCACTGCTGCTTTCAGCGATTACTCACAACGACACCATAACTGCGCTCTGCAGCGGCTGATACATGATCCTTTCAGTAAGAAGCAGTACTGAGCCACGGCAAACTAAATCTAACCGATCCACCATGCGGTCAACTGTAACCGTGTAACATGCATGAGGGCATACCGGGAGCTCCAAGTAGTATATAATAATATAACAAATAAATACAAATGTTGTCAACTACTATACACAACCCGTACAACTTTAGGTAAAAGGACAACATTTGGAATATTTGATGCTAAACACTGACACTGACGAAATGGCCTCAAGGACCCAACATGTTCTGCCGCTTACTGCAGCCGACGCACACACGATGTAATTATCTCTGGTGTGTGCCGTTACCTCTCTGAAGGTGGCCCCTGGGGACCTTGAGATCTTGTAGAGGGCATAGACGGGTATGCAGATCACCGAGGACATGGCCATGCAGAAGCCGATAGCCAGAGACCAGCCGGGGTACACATAGTTATTGTAGGTGATGGGCTTGTACTGGATCACGGTGAAGATCAGGATGAACTACGCGCGGAGAAAAGAGGTCGGGAGTGAGCGTGATCATTCAGAGCATGCTGATGGAAAACTTTATTTAAAAAAACAGGAGAGAAACATAAAGTCAGAGAAAATAAAAGCTGATTAAAGTGTATATTTAAATCTGTCACTAACATCCAACATAACATAGAAAGAGGAAAGAGAAAAACAAAAGTTGTCATAATGTTACACTACTTTAGCATTTTGACAATAGGTAGGTACCGGTCGTGTGGGAACCGGTACCGGTCGCGTAGGAATCGGTACCGGTCGTATAGGAATCGGTTCCCACACAACCGGAACCGGCATTGACTCAGTACAGGTGAAATCCCATTGGACGGCAGCCATTTGTTTTTATTTCAAAGATGCAGATAATTAGGATTATAAAGCACACCGGTTACAAGAGCAGTGAGTTTAGTCACAGTTCTGGTAGAGGCACTGCAGAGCGAAGGCGTTAATCTGAGCAGTCAAATGAGGAAACAAAAACAGCTGAACAGTAATCCACAACAATGAATATCTTGGTTGGCCCAGCAGCTTAGTGGGTAATGCGCCTGCTTGGGAAATACCACTCTGATATCAGCTGCACCCATCTCCCGGTCCGAAAGATTTGCTTTTAGAAGTTTATACTGGAAACAAAGCCATCAGTGGCTGAACAGATCAGTGTCCATAGCGGCTTTAGAGACTTTCGGATCGCTGAGTTGGCGTGTGGTTCCATTAAAAAACTGATTCTGATTGGAGGTTGAACCCGTGCGAGTGTTCACTTACAGAGATGATGACGGGCGAGATGAATCTCCAGCAGACTTTGAAGAAGAGAGGAGGAGGGAAGCCCAGCATCATCTCCACGTCTTTGAAGTATTTTTTGTGGCCTGCGGTCACGAGAAAAGAGTTATCCAAATGGAACCATTTCACATTCTGATAATGAGCTACAAAACATGTGTACACATGATACAGCGTGTGGTCTCTTTAGTCCCTTCACCTTAAGGTAAGTCTTTTTTAGATTTTATATCATTTTAGTAATAGCATTTTCTTTACATTTAATGACATTATGTTTTCGTCCCTTGTTTTAGTGATTGTTCAGTTTAAGTGGTGCCTGGCGAGTTTAAGGGGATCCTCACATTCATTCAAATCAAAGAAGCTGAAGAATTTCTTCTTTTATAATGAATGAATTTATTATATTATTGCTTATTACACCTTCGAATATTAGAAGTACTGACTCGTAATCCCGCCTTATGCACCGGTGATCAATGTTTTCAGACTCACAGTAAAGTTTATCGCTCAAAGCCTGATCTTCTAAAATATTTTAAAATGTATGACGCTTGTCCCAAATTCACATGAGAGCCAACAGCAGCATTATCTTACCATAAACATACATGACGCAGATACACATGATGCAGGAGATGACGACCAGAGAGAAACTAGCAGCGTAGTTGTCCATCAGCAGTAGCCAATAGATTCCCGCCTGCACCCAGAAGATAAAACAAAGTCACCTTCATGACAGAAGACGAGTTGTCTACAAATGGACTGTACTTGTAAAACGCTTTTCTAGTCTTGCAACCACTCAAAGCTCTTTAACATGTCATCATTCACCCATTCATACACAGGAGCCCATCAGTAACTAACATTCACACACTGTGGTCACAGCTACAGGAGCCATGTTGGGTTAAGTGTCTTGGGACCCATGGACATGTGATTTCGCCGGACCTGGAGTCGACCCGCCAACCCTCTGATTGGAGGACGACTGTGCTCCCCACTCACCCACCGTCGCCCGCTCAAAGACGCACTCTGCTCGTGGGCAGGACTTACCCGTGTTGTTAGCGGCACTCCCAGTAAGAATCCAATTATGGCCACCGAAAGTGTCACAACGGTCTTGTTCCGGATGATCCAGTCGGTTCCGATCTCATCGACCACGGCCGTCACCAGGGTCTCCAGCAGACAGAACTACCGCAACAGGGATGAGGTTTGTGGGTTAAGTTCAATAGGACGCTTTGGACGGCTGCTCAAACTCCTTCCTAAATGATGAGAATGGGTTCACCAGGAAGGTGAACCAATACGAGACCTTTTTCACGTGAACAGTGACAGTTAAGTGAACTTAACTTCCGCTAACGTCTCAAACTGTGGGAGGTCAAATTACACAATAAATGTTCAGTAGATTTTACATTTCTATATCCACTATGATGTCAAAGCTTTGCTAAGGTGTTTCTGTGAGCAGCTACATATTTATCCTCACACCTCACTTTTGTAGTTAGCATTCCACCAATTATTTTATTTGGAGAGGGTGTGGCATCAGAATTTCAAGCACTAAAGTAGATTGTCAAGAATAAAAGGGCTTTTATATTTACCAGCTAATGGTAATATAATTATATATATATATATATAATTATATATAATTATATATATATATAATTATATTACCATTAGCTGGTAAATATAAAAGCCCTGGCTTGTAGACTATTATTATATTGTGTATATATATATATATATATATATATATATATATATATATATATATATATATATATATATATATATATATATACACAATATAATAATAGTCTACAAGCCAGTTAGAAGTGGTGCTTTTAGCTAAACGCTAATGTTAGCATGCTACCAATTTTAAAAGGACAATGACGTTCACATTGTCTTAGAAGCCCTACACACAAAGCAGAACCTACGCTCATGGAGCAGTTCTTTGTTTCGCAGGTTTTTTGCAGTCCGAAGGTCCATTTGATTTATCAAAGTTGAAAGCAAAAGGTTACGGAGGATTGCAATGTTCTTTGCATCTTTGACGAACGCTAACTCCTAATCACTGCTCTCTCGCTTCCTTCTTCCTCATGGAAGGACCACAAATGCCTTATTACCGTCACAAAAAGCAAAGGAAATTGGGTCAACGCAGAGTTAAATGTAATCCCTCACTCTTACTAGTAAGCTACTACTAGTAAACACACAGTAGGCTACTGGTCAAAAGTATGGTTGGACGGTTTCCCAGCCTCACCTGAGTCCCCAGTCCCAGGAGGATGAGCATGAAGAAGAAGAGCAGTGACCAGAGCGGTGAGATGGGCAGCAGAGTGAGGGCTTCTGGATAGGCAACGAAGGCCAAGCCCGGCCCGTGGTCGGCCACCTCCGACACGGGGACGTTCAGGTTGTGTGCCATGAAGCCCAGGATGGAGAATATGACAAAGCCGGCATACACGCTGGTTGCACAGTTGGTTATGCTGATTATGATGCTGTCTCTGTACGAAGAGAAGAGAAGGAACTACATGTTGGCCATTAAGTGATGAAGAGAAGAGAAGGAACTACAAGTTGGCCATTAAGTGATGAAGAGAAGAGAAGGAACTACAAGTTGGCCATTAAGTGGAATCACCGTTTACTGAAGGTTCAGGATAAGAGAAAACACACAGTGGTACTTTTCCATAGATCACGCCACATGTCCTAATTAACTATGAGGCTATTCAAAGGCTATTTCTGAGTACATCTTTACTCACCACCTTCATTGAACGATACACCGAACATTGAGAGTTTACTTCATATGTTAATTACTAAATTAGAAGGAGGTGCGAAGTGAGAAGGGAGCCAAATTTAGTGATGGTTAATTAAGGGGGGTCTGAGTTGTAAGTTTGCTACCCAACTATTGACGAAAAATAAACGCATGATAATTCAGTCGCCTTAATCCATATGGGTGTAAATCATAAGTTTCATTGCGATACAATTTCAATCCATACAAATAGAATGCAATTTTTGATTTCACTCAATTGAGACAATATTAGACAATATTGTATAACCTAATCAGTTACATTTAAATAGACTGCCGATTAATAGACAGTTATGCCTGGTCATGATAGGGGAGGAGGTGCGCAAAGAAGCAAACTGCTGTCCCAGGCGTGTGGAGGCTCATCTTGAAGATGATGACCCGCATTGATGTTTTCACCACGTCAACGATGTTGGATTGTTGATCCCTGATTCAATGTATAGATCCAGTTACACCCCTAGCGATGAGGTGGTGGTGTTTCAGCAACCGACTACAAAGGTCAGAAACACCTGACCAGCCTCCCAAACCTCCATCAATCATGTATCTTTCCATGTTCACTAAACCCACACATGATGATATCAATATTTCAGGCATAAGCTTAATTTTCCAATCAAGATGTGTTGCTCCTCGAGAGGATTTTGACAGGGATGAAGACGAGGCAGAGGCCAAAGACCAATGCTAAAAGGTGCCAATGGGCTCTGGTCCATTTCTTCCCATGAAGATGCCTCGCAGTCTTTGTCCTGAGAAGCAGCAGTCTGAGCTGCATGCTGCCGATCTCCAATCAGCCCGACTCAGACTTGGCTCTGTTTGCTCACATTCCCCATTCACAGAAGATGCCTCCGATCCCCTCCGACTCCCTGCACTTCGGCTCGTGGACCGGCTGGTGGGGGTGTTGCAGGGGGGCAGAGGGTGCGTCCACAGGCACGGGCCTGCAGAACGCAAGCTGATTAGACCGCCACACAGCTGTGTGCACAGATAGCACAACTTTCGAGCTGCTGGCAGAGGGACAAATATATCTTCAACCGCTCCGCTCGTGCATCCCGCCCCAGCGGCCCTCGCTCCGTCAGCATGTGTGGACAGGCTCAAGAGAATAAATGACATATTTTCCTCTCCTTATCGCCTCCCCCCCTTTGAACCGTTTCCTGCCCCCTTTCCTCGCTCCCTTTGCATTCAAGCGTGAAGTGAAACCAGCCTCTTAACATAAGTCCAAAAAAACGTATCTCCCTCCCTCATCCCGTCTTACGTTATCTCACCTTCTCTTTTAAGAGCTTTTGCCCTTACTCACTCCGTCTCTTGCTGGTTCTCTCGTCCCTCTGTACTGAAACAATGTGGTTTATCTCAACTTTCTATCTGCTCCTCTTCTCCGACTCCTTGTGCTTCCCTGATTAGTGCAATTAGTAAGACGTTGGTCTGTGTTGCTCAAACATCCTCTTTGTTTCTGTAAAGCCGACCACGTAAAAAGGCAAAGGACTACAGCAACGTACAGACAAAGAAATCTCTGTCAGCATCAGTGTAGAAGTGTGTCTTTGTCTCCACAAAGCCGGCCCTGCAATGGACAAATCATTCTGCCAGTCCTCGATAATTGTGCAACTATTTGCACAATTTGATTGTCATTACCTAATCCACATTAGAAAACAGTGCCTAGATTACTTTCTGGGTTACTTGAAGTCACAGTTCGAGTTTAAGTCTCTCTTAAGGTTAAAAAAAATCTTCCCACCACCAACGAAGCCGAATTAACAAGCTACATTTGTTGTTTTCAAATGAAGATCTGACGTCATTTTTTATGATGCCAAACAATTAATGTTATTAATCTGAATAAATTGCTTTTATACTTTCCTTAAATAAAAAGCAGCGTCAGCATATTTTGAGGGGTAAAAACTTTTGACTTTCGAGTTAATCGATTATTCAAGTTGGAAACCATCATATGCAGCAAATACCAGAACATGAAAAGCCGGACAGCATTTTAATTTTAATGAACCAGATAGTTTCTTAGCTGGGAGTAATAACTTACAGGAGTTTCCTCTAGTTGCTAGTGATAACAGTGGCATAACCTCCCGTAAAACCACAACAACATTGTTCTCACACTTTTGTATTTGTTGTGTGAGAAGTGGTGTCGATCTTGTCGTCAAACTTTCAGCATCAAGTGCTTCTTCCCAAAACGCAATTTCTTCGAGGTGGCGTCGAAGCGGCAAAGGTTGTTCCCGTTAATCCACCGTCTGGAGAACCCACCTGAAGCAGTTGTTGTGGAACTTGTTGTAGGAGGCCATGGTAATGAGCCCCCCCCATGCACAGCCCAGGGAGTAGAAGATCTGTGACGCCGCATCTCCCCACACCTACAAAGGCCGGAACCCAACAACCCGTCAGAAGTAGAACAAAGAATCCCGCAGCCCGTCAGCTGTGTGTGTGTGTGTGTGTTTGAGCGGATACCTTTGCATCGAGGACCTTATGCCACTGGGGAGTCAGGTAGTACTTGATGCCGTTGACGGCTCCTTCCAGGGTGATGCCGCGGATGAACAGGATGGTCAGAACGACATAGGGGAACGTGGCTGTGAAGTACACCACCTGCGCACAAACACACACACACATAATAGTTAAAATGAGTAACCTTCCTTGGCTAAACGTACAAGTGATAAAACAGTCAAGAAAACAGACTTGCTATGGGAGTATTATGTCTGTTTTCACATGTGGCCAAGCCTTGATGTCTATGAATGAGTGTTATTAGTATGTGTGTGTGTGTGTGTGTGTGTGTGTGTGTGTGTGTGTGTGTGTGTGTGTGTGTGCGGGTGAGAGAGAGACTAACCTTTCCAGAGGATTTGACGCCCCTGATGAGACAGAGGAAGACGACAAACCAGGACACGGCCAGGCAGCCCAGGATGGGGAGACGGACCTCTCCAAAGTTCCCAATGTCATCGGAGATGTTCAACACGTAGTGTCTGGGAAAGGGGGGAATTCACGTGTTTGATTATTTCATATTTACAGGTCTTTGAACTTTCAGCCGACTTCGGCCGTACCTTTTCTTTTACCTTTTCTTTTTAACGAATAGCAAACTAAATAAATTATCCAAATAAGCCCTCATTGACAAAGTAAAACAAAGGTGAATTTCTTCAGCAGGCAGAAGCCTCCAATTAGGGCCCCCTTTCTTATTTCCCCCTCTAAATGTGTTTGTGAAGACTTTAGCCAAAAAAGGTTCATTAACTCATTGACCCCAGAGTGGTGCTATAATGATAAAGAATCCCATTATCTCGTGAATGGCTTGCGGTCAGAACTGGCATTTAAGTCTCAATTCAACTGCACCTTTTCTCCAATGCTTTTCTGATCTAAAAATGTCACACCTTTTCTATATTCCTGTGCTATTCCATCAATTTCTAAAGAGTCGTAAGTTTGGATAGACCAGTTGAAAAATGATGTTTAAATCTCCACTACACAAATACCACTGTGTTATTACATATAAGTGATACTAACTGAATCATTGAGGATAAGCGTTATATTCTTGTGATTAAGCAAAGCTACGCATCTTCTCATACGCCTGATAAATGATTGCACAGATGAATAGCTGCCTCGACAATATAGCTAATTATCTTGGACCGAGTGATGTGCCAAGTATTTGCCGTTAGGGTTTATTACGCAAGCATTTTGAAATTGTATGTTGTATGATGGGAAGAAGAGATATTATAGACAGATATAGTGAGACGGCAACTAGGCAAGGTTGCAAAGATATGGAAAGACACGAGTCATCATGACACTGGGGATGGCAAAAGGTTTAGGACAAGATAATGTAGAGACACCAGCTGTGGGACAACGGTCTCATGTTTGTGTGTGTAGACGCGAGGGGACAGAACGCGAGGCCCAGCGAGATAGAGTCAGCCGACCAGCCTGAGCCCGTTAGTTTAGCATCAACAACCAGATAGGGGGGCAAGTGAGGGACAAGGAGAAGAACAGTGGGACGACAACAACAGGAGGAGGGTTACGCAGTTAGGATTGAAGGGGAGGGCTTCACTCAATCCAATAGTCAAAGAAATGTATAAACTGAAGTGTTGTATCATCACCTCGTGGGTGTCTTTCCGGAAAGAGCTTGGTTTATTCGAGTGTTGGTGCTCCAATAAATCTCTGTGAATCAACTTCACCCAGATCTCCAGTGTGTTACTGAAAGGATGGGTGGGTCCTCATTTCGAGTCAGATAGATATAGTCAGTGAGTTAGGGAATACTTAGAAAATAGTAACAAGTACGAAATAATGAATCCACAACATTTGGCGAGCTAGCAGCGACCACGGGCCGGGCCGACACCGGAGCTGCTGCTCCCTTCTCTCTCACACACGCTAAAACGCGTCATCTCAAAGGTAAGCAGGAAAACCTTCTCTATGTTTCTGCACTGGTGGTACCTGTCTGTGAGGGATGAGGAGCGGTGACGAGGGTGTAAGTTGTCTCCCGGGAACATTCCAAAAGACCAAATAAGTGAAGGGACGGTGTTTGTGTGAAGTAACAATGTTTTTGCCACCCCAAAAAAAATAAAAATAAAAATTGAGGAATGGTGCTTGGTACGTTTATTGAATTGGCATATTGCAGATTGGATGTACATCTGAATTTATTGACTGGAGCGGATTGACTGGAGATTGGAGGCTGTCGTGAAGCAGAAAACATTAAATGAAAAAGGCCCAATCACAAAGGCCAGGAAGGGATTGCCTGAGGCACATTAATATAACTGACGGTTAAAAGTGGTTAGGGGGTGTGCAACTTGTTAGAGCGGTTGTTTTGTTGGGCGGAGGCTACGACCCACGGGAGCCTGTTTCATAATACAATCCCAAGAAGAACACACTGTCCAGAGATGCATTAGCGAGAATCGCTACAATACTATCAATAACAAAATCTTAAAAAAGGACAGCAGGAGGCACAGTCACGGCATGTTGGGGAAGACCGGCTCTCCAGCATTCACAGTAGACCATCTACGAAACTGACAAATGAAACGGAATAAACCACCTGAGCGAGTATTTTGAAAAGTCTAATGCAGATGAAATGGACGAACTTTTACATCTGAAATCCAGAGCCGTTACACCCGATGATACACTGCTGCGGACCCTGACGTAGTCTTGTGTGACCAGCACCAGGATGCTTAATAAAAACAGCAAAACATCTGTCCTTCCGTCACATTCAACTAGTTGATTAAGTCGTTGCTCTGGACTCACAAGCTGAGACAGTTCAATTCTAGTTCCTTTAGTCTCTCTCATCTCATCCAGATGTCCAAAGAGGCCACTCGCACAACTTAACACAACAAAGTGCAGTATCCTTACTTCCAGTACTCCTCGCTGGGGCTGGTCCTCTTGGTGCGGTTGACCACCTCGGACACCCCGGCCACCAGGCTGGTGGTGGTGTTAGCCAGGCTAACGTTGAAGCGGTTGCTGCCGCCGCCCAGCACCCCGCTGCAGTCCGGCGTGTTCCAGGGGTTGTTGCAGTAGGTCCACGGCAGCACGTTAGTCATGGACATGAAGAAGTAGTAGAAGGCAATGCAGATGACCACGTTGTAGTAGATCCCGATGTAGGTGGACACCACCATCATGCCGTAGCCCACGCCTGGAGGGACAAGAGGACAGGATGGGAGAACAGCCGGCCTCTACATGCTAAGCTAAGCTAAGTTCGACTGGTTACACTTCACAATGACTTGTAAGCTTGCCATCAAACAATCGCTACGTAGCTGGGAGAAGGCACGCCGTCCTGTTGCACTTCTATCATTTTATTATTTTATTTATTATTACTATTTTTTGGTCTTGGGTGCATCTGGTTAAAAATTCTCTGACAACGAACTTAAGTCTCGCGCCACTCTTATATCACACCATTTATTGTTTTACAAGAACAACCATGAGGGAACACAGAGATCTTTCTTTGTGATGAACCATGATGAACATGGCAACACACCTACACAAGCTCATCTGAACCAGGCCCAACATAAAACAAAGACCTGCATAACAGGTTCCATGGAGTCATCTGGGAGAAATTGTGATCCATCTGCAAACACATCGGCACCAACCTTTAAACATGGGGCTGATCTTCCACACTCCGAGACAGCCCAGGCTGGCAAACTGGCCGAAGGACAGCTCGAGGAAGAAGAGAGGAATGCCGCAGAACACCAGCATGATGAAGTACGGCAACATGAAGGCACCTGGGTGGAGAGGGGGGGCAGTAGGACAGCCACTCAAAGTGGGCAGAAGACATTCTAAGCTTTGTGTATATGTAGTTATAACAGGACCCTTTGCGATTTTTCCAGACAAAAGCATAGAAGACGGGCAGGAAAATAGAATTTCACATAGTGATGACCGTGTAGTTGTCAGAATGGTGAGATTAAATTGAAATTGTGAAAAAGAAAGAAAGAACGTAGGCTGTATTAACTGGCTGGGATTGAAAATATTACAAGATAAGTGTAGGCATTACAAAAGCATAGATAAAAACCGCAGTACATGCAAAAAAACTCAGTATTATTAATTATTACAGAAACTAGATATGTATCTTGGGAAAAATATAAAATACAAAATATGTAAAACCCCAAAAAGAAAGAAAACATAAAAAAAAGAGAAAAGTAAACGTAGCGGTTAATCTGCTTCCCCTGGGTGAGCAGAGAGGTCACTGCAGGAGCAGCTGAGGTCGTTCAGTGGTGCAGCAACTCTCCAGACAGGCATCTACAGGGGTGACTATAGTCCGTGTGCGTGCGTGCTGTCCAATGAGCCTCCATACTTGAAACGGCCCGCTATTACTGAACACGACCAGAACCTGGTGGTTCTGTGGCCGGTGGAAGCGTGCGGCTCAGCCCCTGCGTGCAAACTAAATATCCTTCGTCCTCGTATGGGAGCGCAAGTCATCCACGTGCATAACACTAATATTTGTAGCATGAAATATATGAGCGGGAGTGGGAAATATTGGACTCACTGAGTTGCAGGACCTTGATCAAACTTTGACCGTTGCTCTACTTTGGCCCTTTACTGGTACATTTTCTAGAACAGATTTAAGTGCATCCGATACAGCGTTTTGAGGGTCGCCTGTGAGTCGAGGGGCTGTAACGATCGTGTTCTTGTGCGTTGAACACAGAGGCCGCACAGCAAAAGCACAATCGTCGGCGGAGGAAGCAGCTGGAGCCGCTCTGTGCACTCAGACGCATTCCCAGTGTTCACACCCCAATTAACAATCATTTCGTTACGCACAACTTGGCTGGAGGTTTGTCAGCGGTCTCTGCATGGAAGTTAGGGCCCTAAAACGGAATACGGTCGAGGGATTCAATCCGCTTAGCTTTTATATTTTAATTTTTGGAAATACAGTGTGTCCTTGAGTTGCATTTCGTTGCAACCATTTCTTTACCAGTCGAGACGTTCCGTGATGTTTAACATTATTTAATAAAACATTTGTTCAAAAGCTTGTTCTGAATCCCTGATTCTGTGCGAATTGAAGAACTTCTTGTGCGTAGCGTTGGGTTTTTTGGAAACATTAACCACTTACATTGCCCTCTCACAGGGCAGCGATGATAAAGTCACCACCAGTGATTCAGCGGAACAGAGCGGGACGTGCGTACCTCCTCCGTTCCTGTAGCAGAGGTAAGGGAACCTCCAGACGTTGCCCAGGCCCACGGCGTAGCCCACGCTGGTGAGGACAAACTCGATCTGGTTGCCCCAGTTCCCTCTCCGGGAGTTCTCATCCTTCTTCACCGGCTCTCCCGGAACGGCTCCGTTCTACAGTAGACAGAGAGAAGGAGACACACAGGGTGAATTCGGGGCCGGTGGGGAAAGAAAAGCGTTTCTGAGAAGTCCAGCGATAAAAACACCTGTTTTACCGAATCAGAAGAGAATGCTGAGACGGAGCGGAGGCATCGTGACGGGTGCGTTCATAGTTTCACCTGTACAACGCAACGAGGGCGAACAATCGGAAGCTCAATTACTCATGTGCCGCGCCCGCATTTATTGACTAGTCTCTGTAACGTACCGCCTCCTCTAACCCCAAAGTCGGGCATAAGGTGGGCGCGCTGGAGCAGACGGTATGCAAAGTGAAATCAGAGCCTCGAGAACAGCGCAGAAGCATTTGGCCTTGTCGTCCTGATTCTGAGCTTCTCCTCCCTCCCTCCACCACTCCATCTGCTGGCATCAGATGGTGCCTCTCTCCTGACCTCCTTCCTAACCTCAGCTGGGTCCGTCTGTCTGTCGGGGTTTTTTTAGCCTCCGCACGTGAAGATTCTCGTGCCGTTTTCGGATAAAAATAAATAAATAGGCACTGCTAATCTCGGTACGCTGCTTTACCGAAGACAAACTGAAATGATGTCGCGGCCGTAGGTTTTCTACACATTTGCTTCCACTCACTGACAGCGGCGTCGGCAAATCAAAATGGCTGAGAAATTTTGGGGGTAAACCATCGAAGGGCAAACAAGCCCAACCCTTGATTGTACAGCATAACAGAAAAAAAAGGTTTGAAAATATCCGGTTGAAACCAAAATGAAGGACAAACGGAACATTGCACGTTGTTTATGTGGAGGCCAATAACCTTGAGAACTGCAGATGATTCTCCAGTCTCCATTTACTACTATAAAGCTGAAAACGATGAACTGGACTGAGGATCGGATTTTTTGATTTTTCTGTCTGAAACTGTAAACGCAGCACTCTGCCCCCGGCTTATACGGACTGATGGAGTCTATGCGGGCAAACAGCTGTGTGCAGCACAACGACCAAACCTTCATTCACTCGTTCAACCTGCTCGAGTCATCGGCTTAACGCAGAGCCGGATCCTCCGCAATGAACGGAGAACCAGAAAAAACTGAATGCTGGTCATAAATAGTATCTCTTTACGTACAGCAAATGGGTCATTTTGACCCAGTTGTTTGTACAAAAACAACAAAGTGACAACTATACCCAGGTCCTGTTGGGTGGCTGGTTGCTCACACACACACACACACACACACACACGCACACACACACACACACACACCCACACCTCTATGGAGCGAACACAGAGCCAGATCTCGTTCCTCAGCAAAAAGTGTCGAGAAAAACAAAAAGAGAAATCTCTCTCTCTCATTTTTCTTCCCCCACCCGTGTGATGTGTTTCCACGCTGATGCGGGCCCCCCATGACTACCGAGAGACGGACAGAGAGAGAGCCAGGGAGAGAGGACACGGGACGGCGTAACACAAACAAAGTTCCGTGGTTCGTCTTTGAGTCCGGCTGTGCTCTCATATGAGGAGGGCCGAGACACACAGCATTTCTCACGCATCCACGACCCTTTTTCCTTTCTTTTAATTGACAGGGAGTGGGGGGGCCGCAGTTGGGACGGAACAGGTTGAAGGTCGAGGCTAGGTACTCGGAGCGGTGGCACGTGCACAGCAGTGTGTGAGCACAAAGCGCATCCGTCACGGCGGCCTGACCGCGGGACGCAGTTCATGTGTTCATCAATCATCACGAGACTTTGGGTTCGCATCACCCACAAGTTCAGGATGTGCTCTGCTTTTATGGCTGAAGATGATGAGTTCAGCAGGACACCCCCCTCTCTCCCTTGACTGACCCTGAATGTTTGCCTCCCCCTGCCCAGGTGCTCCAGCCTGTGAGTGCCCCCCCCCCCCCCCCGGAGGCCCCCAGGTCAGTCAGTCAGTCCGACGGACAGACAGACACCCCTCTCATCATATCCCTCCATGTGACATGCTTCTCTGGGACCATCTGGGCTTTATATAATACCACACATGCTGCCCCCCCCCCCCGCCCCAATGCATCTCTCCTTTGACTTAACTTTTTCCTCTTTCCAGGGTCTCATTCGAGTCCCAGCGGACACTTTGTTGGACAATAACAAATGTAAGGGACAAAATAATTTGCCTGTTACACAGCTAGAGGCAAAACAATCCCATTGCACAAGAACACATTCTTCAAAAATAAAAACATGCGTCCCGTCTGGCCAAGGAAAGGTTTTAATGTGAAGCCGCATAAGAGCAGGAAAGGTTCATTGAGCATTTGTCCAAACTGAAGGGGATGAATAAGCAGTAAAGCAAAGTCAACTTCCAAGGGCACAGAGATCACGTAGAGGCCCCAATAGCACGCGGTCGGACATTTTGTAAACGCAGCTTTCTCTCTGGAGCCCAGAATAGCAACGTGGGGTTGCTGCTGAAGACACAGCTAAGGTTATCAAAGTGCAGTGGAAATGCACGTCATCATCCCCCGGGAATGAACCCCACGTTTATGTCATCACATGGGAATTCAAATGGGTAAATTGTGTCTGCACAACCTGACAGGTTGCGTCACTCAGACATTTTTGCTATTTACCTCAGTGGTTCGGCCTTTTCTTACTTATTCATTTTTATCTGCGTTTAAATTACCTGTTGTCGTTGTATTTCACTGCATCTGGCTGTTATCAAAATATAATTTCCTCCGGGGATTAATAAAGTCTTATCTCGGTGGTCGGTTGGCCGCTCTGCTAACCGACAATATAGACTATTTGTATATTTAGGCACACATTTTTCTCATTATATTGTTGCTACCAGGGATTGAAGTAGTAAAAACAAAGTATCAGTACTACTGTACTCATTGTATGATGCAGATTCTCAACACTGAAAAATAAAAAATAACATTTACACAGCAATAACACAGAAATAACAAGTTTTAGGACTGGAAACTGTACACTTCGACATCTCTTTGGACCAGAATTATCTAAATAACGGCCAAAAGGCTCTGGAAGAAAACTTGAGTCCTGCCGCACTTTGGGGACTGGTTGACAAAGTATATTTCCAACAAACAGTAGATCCTTACTGGCAGCGGAGCAGCTGTCTCCCGTTCTGTAATCATAAACTCCCAGGTGGGACACCAGCAGTCTGTCACACAGCCACTGACAAAATTACAGTCCTCAACTGGTCTCTGTGCTAAGCTGGACCGGGAGAGACGGCTGGCTGAGTGACATGTGAATGCACAGAGAAGCTAAGTTGTGCAGGCTCAGCCTGGAAGCGACATGAAGTGCAATCAAAGCGATTTACCCTCCTCGAAGGTGTTATGGGAAGGGATTAAACACCAGCATTTTGTACTTGGGGGGGTTGAATGCAGAACCCTTCGGAAAGGAAACAGAGCATTGCTTTGGAGCAAGCAAGAAAGGTTGAGAAAGATAAAAACAATACTAAACACTACTTTTATCGTTGTTTGAAATAGCATCATAACCGACTAACACGGCAGACAGCAGCACTGTGACATCTAATATTAACTCAAAGCACTGTTTTACCATATCAAGACGCAGCATCACAACCTCATTACTTTGTACAATGAAATGGGAAATGTAATGAAATTGGATTCAAATATAAGCAATGGACTTTCCACTCACAGCAGCATCCATTTTCCTTTTGTCCAGAATCTCTTTTCCCTGCTGTGCTTCCTCTCGACCCTGCTGCCCCTCATCCTCCCGCAGGCCAAAGAGAGCACTTCAGCTCTGTGGAAACACTGCGTAGAGCTCGCACTCAGGTGGACGAGCACACACTGCTTGACACACGTGTTTACCCACATTTGACGGACGGCAGAAGGAATCTTTCAAATTGACGCCTCTTGACAATGTCAAGTTATGTCTGGAAGAGACACCGTCTACTGGAGTGTGGCGAGAACTAGAACATTTTGGAATACATTTTGACACGCCGGCTCTTACATAATTCATAGATGCTTTATTTAAAAAAAATTTTAAAAACATGCTCCATCATGAGCTTTCTGTTACAGGGTACTTTTATTTTGAAAACAAATGTTCATGTCATGACGAATAAGTTCTGGGGCTTTTATTTTGGAAAACTGGCTTCATGCCTGGTTTTCTGTTAACATACTGTAGTTTGAGAGTAGTGGGTTTTTATTTGTCCTCTAATGGTTTTCTAACCTAAGTTTTTGTTAAAAACTGCTGAGAGTGTGGTTGGGTTTTAACACTCGTGGAAACGAGTACCGACGGTATGCATACTCCCTAAATGTGGCCCCTGCCCTGCTTTCTTTACCTGTTTGTCTATGGGAGGTATAGAAGTACACAGCACTTACAACCAGACTGGACGTGGATGAAGTTAAGCACGAGTGCAAATGGAAGCAATGGAAGCAGTTTTGTTAAATTTGTTTAACTGTTAGGGATTTAAGCATGAAGTGCACCCCTAGTGGTAGAAATTGTAATACGTGTAATAATGTTTAATGTTGTAGTTTGTGCGTTATTAGATATTAGTTATTACATTAGCATGTTAGATGACGTGAATGCAATATGAATCAAACACAATGAGTCATGTAAATCACATAAAGACTGTACACATTAACATTCTGTCACAATGTGATGTTAAAACCTGGGGGCGGATGATAGTTGCCGTCCTTTATGGATTTCTCCCAATTTTATCCCCAAAGAGGGTTTTTGGGGAGTTTTTTCTCCTGTCAGGTAGTAGAACTGCAACTGAATGTAAGACAGCCAATTGAGGCAAATGTCTTGAGAATTGGACCACATGAACTGTATTCGATCTTATGATGTAGTGTGATGTACTGTGAACATTTTTGATGTGTTGTAATTAAATTGCACTAGTTATAAAATGAAGACTACGCATGCTTTGTTATATTCACTCATTGAGGCATGAAGCCAAATTAATTGATTGAATGTATTGGAATGTGAGGGACAGATAGGACAGAGAGGTTTCAGGTTACAGCTGCAGCTTCACACCTGGATGTGAAGGGGACAGTCCAGGAGGAGACACGTTTGAAGGAGAAGCCAAT